CTTCCTGCTCCTCTGATGCTGCTTGGCCTGCTGTGTTCATCCAGCTCTACACCTTGTTATCTCAGATTAGTGAACAAGTTGGGTTTGTGTAACAATTGATGATGGCATCATGGCCACCATCACTGGGACCAGCTTTCAAATCCAGAGTTTTATGAATTGAATGTGAAGTTCCTGCATCTGGTGTGGTAGAGGGTTGAACTCAAAGCCATAGCTTGACCCTCTGGATTACTAATCCAGTGACATTGTCACTTACATTACAGTGTCCTCTCAATCTCAGCTGATCGAACTCACAATACCACTGGGTTCTCATGGGAGTAATTGCAAAGCCACCTTTTACAGAAGGGAGGGAAACTGTGGGACGAATTTGAAAGACACAGCAATGAGGTTATACAAGCCCATAGCTGTCTCACCCTGGGGGTGCGGTGATCGCTGTGCGTATCGAAGACAGGGTGCCCAGGTAGAGTTTGAGCCTCAGCCCCACTTCTGCGGGGATGAATGAGCAAGTGTGCCTGCCTTGTGATTGTCACTGGTTGTTCGAAAGCAATACTGTGATTTATGATCGTCACCTTGCCTCAGTTTCTACCTGTAGATTCCGCCTACAGCCCTCCCATTGTGCTGAAGGTGCTGGATTATCGAGCGTTCGGGTACAAACCAGTGGTAGGGCAGACGACAGTGAAATCCCTCGGCAAGTTCATGTGTGATCCTTTCGCTGGCTCACTTGAAACTGAAGGTAACAACTGGATATCTAAATCAATCTACATTAAGGTTTTATGCGAGCTACCTTCTCCTTGGTTACCAACCTCTTAGGAGAATCAATCATGGCTCAGTTCCTAATTCAAATCCCACACTGATCAGGTGGATGTTTATCCTTGGTGACCTGCCCAATCTTTATCCCTAAATCAATATCACAAAAAGAGATTGTCCTATCACGTTTGTTGTTTTGCGGGAGCTTGCTGCACAAAAATTTGGCAGCTGCATTTCCTACATTGCAACTGTGATGTTTGTTTTATTAATTCATGGGATGGTCGGAGTCGCTGGCTAAGTCAGTATTGCATGTCCAGGAGGCCAGCTAAGAGTGAACCACATTACTAGGGGGGGGTCTGGAGTCTCATGTGTAGGTCAGATGAGGCAAATATCCTTCTGTCAAGGATCTTTGTGAGCAAGATGGGTTGTTATCACAATTGACAGTAGTTGCCAATAGGCTAGCTTTTTATTGAATGCAGATTGCACCATCTGCCTTGTTGGGATCTGAGCCTACATCTCCAGAACATTAGCTGCCCAGTGACATTACCAATATACCATCTCCCACTGGACTTCACTTCAAAAGTACTTAATTGACTGTAGACCACTTTGAAGTATCCTGATATTGTGGAAATTGCCTTATAAAGCAAGTTTGTTCTCCTTTTTATAATCTGAGTGAAGTGTTTAGATGGAGGACGTTCTTTCATCTGAATTTGGGGACACCATTGAACCTCAGGACCTTGCAGGTCTCCAGTTACCTACTGGGGTCACCACTCAGAACAAGGTCAGGGTTTTACTGTGCTGAAACCAATGTTTTTTGCATCTTCTTCATTGTCCCCAAAGATGTCGCAATGATGTCAACCAAGACTTTTCGTGTGGAAACACCCAACGTTGAGGTAAGATTTTTTTTACAAAATGGCCATTGAGTACAGAGGGTGATAGTTACAATAATTGTGAGGTACAGCAGTGAACTGCAAGGCAAGATGTAGTTCCCATTTTATCCTGACAGTGATTTCAGGTCGTCCTCCAGTCCCCATTTCTTTCCAGGTCTCAACGTGCATGTCCCAAAATGGGTTTCCATGTGCCAGCATCTAGCAAGCTGGATTATTCAGATGGGATCCGATGGGATTCTCACCATCTTTGGATTGGCGCATGTTGCATCCTGAATCACAAAAGAGGATTGAGATCTCAACTTGTGGCGTATGTAATATTTTGATTCGGTGACACTGTGTCTGTCCTGGCAGTGTTCGATGGGGGCAGTGTAGAGAGGGCTTCGTGCTGTATCTAACCCTGTACTGTGCCTGTTCTGGGAATGTTTGATAGGGACAATATAGACAGAACTTTACTTTGTATCTAACCCCATGTTGTATCTGTCCTGGGAGTGTTTGATGGGGGTCAGTGTAGAGAGAGCTTTACTGTGTATCTAACCCCATACTGTACCTGTTCTGGGAGTGTTTGATGGAGGCAGTGTAAAGGAAACTTTACTCTGTATCTAACCATTTGCTGTACCTGTCCAGTGAGTGTTTGATGGGGGACAGTGTTGAAGCAGTTTTACTTCCAGTTTAAAAGAGTAGAGAGAGCTTTATTTTCAGTTTACAATATGGAAAGAGCTTTACCTTCAGTTGAAAAGAGTTTTGGGAGTTTAACCTTATGCCTGAGCATGTGCTGTACCTGCTCTGGGAGTATTTGATGGTGAAACTGGAGAGGGAGCTTTACTCTGTATCTAACCCTGTACTGTCTGTCCTGGGACTGTTTAATAGGAACAGTGCAGAGCAAGCTTAATTCTGTACACCATTGCTATCCCTATTCTGGAGTGTTTGCTGGGGACAGTGTAGAGAGAGCTTAACCTTTAGTTTAAAGAGTAGATAGACATTTACTTTCATTTTAAAATAATAGAGGAAACTTTACCCTGTATCTAACCATGTGCTGTACCTGTCTTGGGAGTGTTTGATGGGGAGCAGTGTAGAGGGAGCTTTACTCTGTATCTAACCCCATGCTGTCCCTGTCCTGGGAGTGTTTGATGGGGGACAGTGTAGAGGGAGCTTTACTCTGTATCTAACCCCATGCTGTCCCTGTCCTGGGAGTGTTTGATGCGGGGACAGTGTAGAGGGAGCTTTACTCTGTATCTAACCCTGTGCTGTCCCTGTCCTGGGGAGCGTTTGATGGGGAGCAGTGTAGAGGGAGCTTTACTCTGTATCTGATCCTGTGTTGTCCCTGTCCTGGGACAGTTTGATGGGCAGAATAATTTTAAATCTGATGAGGTGAAATTTGTTGTCTTTTAGAGTTCAGCTGCAGAGGATGCTCAGAAATCTGAACAGGAAGCCACTGAAGGGCTGCTGGTGAGTTGCTAAGGGGAGTTGCGTGAAGTCTCGTCCTGGTTGTTTCACATCTGCAAGCAAGCAGAAGCATTTTTCTGTCTTGTTCTTCCTGGAAACTCTGCAAACTCCAGGGTTCCTCTGCAGATCCTGCTGCTCTCCCAGGAGTTGGAAAGCATATGGATGTGTTACGATGGGGGAATAGCCGAACCCCTCTGATAACTAAACTGAAACTCAAACCCCAATCTGTTATGACCCCTAAACACCCAGAGCTGCTCGCCTTCCCCCTCATGATCTATCAAAAGTGTAGTTAAAAGAAAGAAAATCCCTGATCTCCACTTGACAAGTAACAAGAAACCATTTATTTATTTAACCCAACAATGAACAAATTAACAAAATTACTAACAAACCAACAATTCCCCCCTTAGACTACTAACTACTTCATAACTGGTCTAAATTCTACTGGGATGCGGTTTAAATAAAGACAGGTCCCACTAATATAAACCCAATGAATAAGAAGCAATAAATTGTAACTTAATCTCTCCAAGTTCGCAGTTGACTGTCTTCTGGAATATTTTGACATCTCCGGTCTCTTCACAAGCACCTTTCTTCCATTAGTTCTGCTGTCAAGGATTTTTTTACCTCTATAATTTCTTCAATGAGGAGTTTGAGCTAAAATATGGTGGGACCTTTGATGAATGTGATGGGCTTTCTCTGAGAGCTGAATGGTGCTAACTCTCGCAGGTGGCAGATGGCTCTCCCCAATTTTCCAAATGCCCTCGTCTTATATACCCGTAACGACATAATCAAACTCTTATAATGTGATTGGTTTCAGGTTGTTAACGCCATCAGATTTAAACTCAATTGGCTTTCTGTTTCTAGGTGCTTGGTTTAAATTAATTGGCCAAATTCAAACTTGTTGTCTTGGGAAAAAATTGCTGCTTAGCTGTTCTACACAAAATGTTTCCATTCGGGCACTGTCTGTGTGCACCTGCATTTATAAACTACCAAGCACAGGCAAAGCAAAGCTTTTAAAGGGACCACAGCACTCTTTTCCCCACGATCATTTTTACTGACAAATTGTAACTTCCTGCCTTCCAATTCATGAATTCTCTATCCAACTTCGTAGCAGATGTAGAAATAATTCTCAGTCATTTTGTGAACCCTGCCAGCAAATTGCTTTGGTCTGTTTACTCAGCACATTAGCTGAGGTGGGAAACCATACTGTAAAGTATTGTCTGTATTGTCTGCTGTAAAGCCAGCATTTATTGCTCTCCCCTAATTGCCCCTTGAGAAGGTGGGGTGAGCCGCCTTCTAGAACCGCTGCAGTCTGTGTGGTGTAGTGCCATTAGGGAGGGGATTGTAAGATTTTGACCCAGTGACACTGAAGGAACGTCAATATATTTCCAGGTCAGGAAGGTGTATGACTTGGAGGGGAACTTGCAGGACATAGTGTTCCCATGTATCTGTCTCCTTTTTCCATCACAATGATAGAGTTTGTGGGTTTGGAAAGTGCTATGTAAGGTCACTTGATGAGTTTTGTTAAAAACAGCATTGTTATCCTCTGTGAAGCCAGCTTAGGCAGAAACACTTCAGAAGCTGGGATTGTTCTCCTTTGAGCAAAGGAGGTTAGGAGGAGACTTGATAGAGGTGTCTGTTTATCACAAACACCCAGTATTGCTTCTTGTACACTTTGTCCCACATTGTGGTTACCGGTATGGGGCCTGTAGACTGCTTCCACTTGTGAATTCTTTCCCCTCCTATCTCTCATCTCCACCCAAACCAATTCTACATCCTGATCTCTTGATGTGGAGGTTCCGTTGTCGGACTGGGGTGGAAAAGTCAGAAGTCACACGACACCAGGTTCTAGTCCAACAGGACTATTTGAAATCACAAGCTTTCAGAGCATATCCCCTTGATCAGGTGAAGTGAAAGAGAAACACACAGAACACAGGATTTATAGGCAGAGAGATCAAAAGATCGTACAAATGGTGTGAGTTGAACCTCAAATAATAAATCTCTGCAGGTGATCAAAAGTGTCAATCGGTGTGAGTAAAGTATCAGCAGCTGAATAACAAGCGAAGGGATGATGTATAATCGGATTAAATGAGGCAGAGAGATAATTACAAAAAATTTAAAATAAGGTGGTGCTGGAGACAAACCAAATGCTGGAATAACATGATACGTATAGGAGTTACATGCTGAGGGTCTAACCAAAGTAATAAGTAATCCAAAACATTACAAACTAATAAAGGTGGAAAGATCATAACAAGTTATCAAGGTGATGGTAACAAAACAGGACAGTAAGGAAGACTTTACAGATACAGAACATTGTGGTGGGGTCACATGCAGCGTGACATAAGCCCAAGATCACGGTTGAGGCCATCTTCATGGATACGGAAGTTGGTTATCAGTTTCTGCTGGGCGATTCTGCATTGTTGTGTATTTCAAAGGCCACATACCCGAAGGTCAGAGGCTGAATGTCCTTGACCACTGAAGGGTTCCATGACTGGGAGGGAACATTGCTGCCTGGCGATTGTTGTGTGGTGTCCATTCATCTGTTGTCGTAGCATCTGCACGGTCTTACCAATATTCCATGCATCGGGGCATCCTTGCCTGCAGTGTATAAGATAGACAACATGAGTATCTGCTGTGTACGTGGTGGGTGGTGTTCCCTGGTGCAATGGTAGTGTCCAGGTCGATTATCTGACATGCCTTTTAGAGGTTACCTTCACAGGCTTGTGTGGTGTTGTGTCGATGTTCTCCTGAAGGCTGGATAGTTTGCTGCAAACAATGGTCTGTTTAAGGTTTGGTGGTTGTTTGAAGGCGAGAAGTGGAGGCGTAGGGATGATCTTGGTGAGATGCTCATCATCATCGATGACATGTAGAAGGCTGTGAAGTATATGGCATAGTGTATCTACTCTGGGGCAGTACTGGACGATGAAGGGTACTCTATCAGTTGTATCCTGTGGCTATCTTCTGAGGAGATCATTGTGGTTTTTCGCCGTGGCACGTCGGAACTGATGATCGATGAGTTGAGCATCGTATACCATTTTTATGAGGGCTTCCTTCAAAATCATCTGAATAGATCCTGTGTATGCGTAGGGGACAGATTCTTTAATATGTTTAGGTTGGAAGTGAGAGAAGTGCAGCATCATGAAATTATCTGTGGGCTTGCGATAGAGTGAGGTACTGAGGTGTTTGTCCTTGATGGAGATGAGTGTGTCCAAGAGTGAGACTGATTCTGAAGAGTAGTCCATGGTAGGTGTAATGGTGGGATGAAACTTATTGATATTGCTACGTAGTCATTTCAGTGATACCTCACCATGAGTCCCAAGGAAGAAAATGTCATCGATGTATCTGGTGTATAACGTTGGTCAGAGGTCCTGTGCAGTGAAGAAGTCTTGCTCGAACTTGTGCATGAAAATGTTGGCATGTGGGGTGCAAATATGGTCCCCATGACTGTTCTGTGTGTCTGGATGATCTCTTGAACCAAGGTCATCGCTAATGATTGTACCTGTATCACCAGAAGCAAAATGTTTGTTCATTTCATCTGCCGTTGACTTATGAGCCATTATTTTCCTTCCACTTTTACCTATCTTCCTATGTTTATTAAATGTCATATTGCCCTCTGTATTCAGGACTCAATCCTTGTCCTCCTGAAGCCACAATGGCATGGTGGCTCAGTGGTTAGCACTGCTGCCTCAGAGTGTGAGGGACCTGGGTTCAATTCCACCTTCAGGTGACTGCCTGTGTGGACTTGTGTAGCATGGAAACAGACCCTTTAGTCCAACTTGTCCATGCTGTCCAGATATCCCAAATTAATCTAGTCTCATTTGCCAGTATTCGGCCCATATCCCTCCAAACCCTTCCCAATTGTGTACCTATCCAGATGTCTTTTAAATGTTGTAATTGTACCAGCCTCCACCACTTCCTCCGGTAGCTCATTCCATACACGCACCACCCTCTGCGTGAAAAAGTTACCACTTAGGTTCCTTTTATATCTTTCCCCTCTCACCTTAAACCAAGCCCTCTAGTTTTGGACTCCCCTACCCTGGGAAAAAAGACCTTGGCTATTCATCCTATCTATGCCCCTCATGATGTTATAAACCTGTATAAGTTCACCCCTCAATCTCTTATGCTCCAGGGAAAATAGTCCCAGCCTATTCAGCCTCTCCTTATAGCTTAAACCCTCCAACCCTGGTGACATCCCTGTAAGTCTTTTCTGCATCCTTCCAAGTTCAACACCATCTTTCCTAAAGCAGGGAGACCAGATGTTTTTGCACCAAGTCTGGTTCCTCAGACTGATGCAGCACTTGCACATTCTCCCCATGTGTGTGCATGGGTTTCCTCTGGGTGCTCCAGTTTCCTCCCACAGTCCAAAGATGTGAAGCTTAGGTGGATTGGCCATGCTCAATTGCCCCATAATGTCCAGGAGTCTGCAGGCTAGGTGGGCTAGCCATGGGAAATGCAGGGTTACAGGGTTAAGGGGGTGGGCCTGAGTGGGACTCTTCAGAGAGTCGGTATGGACTCGATGGGCCGAATGGCCTGCTTCCACACTTAGGGATTCTATGTCCTCTGTAATGGCTGTCAGATCATGTTTATTTGTTTTAATGCACACGATCGATTCATTTACTTTGTTATGAATGCGACATACATTCAGAGATGGGCCCTTTATCTTTGTTAACATTTGTTTCTTGAAGCGAGCCTTTTTTCTCTCTGTCCCTTTTTGCCATTCTCTGAACCTCATTTCCCAGATTATTATAAACTTTAAACACCGCAGTGTTCGACATTTGTACTCTTCCCCTTAGTTTAAGACGTTCTAAGTAAGCAATGAAATCAAAGCTTATCGGGGGTGCGGATAGGAACATGGAATTTGAAATGCAAACAGATCAGCCAGGGTTTTACTGAATGGTGAAGCAGGCTGACTGGCCTTTCCTCCCAATCCTGTGTTTTTAATGCAGTGAGCTGCCTGAAAGGATGGTGGAAACAGGTTCTTTGGTAACTTTCAAAAGGGGTTTTGCAAAATAATTGAAAATCGAAAAACTTGCAGGGGAAGGGCGGTACCAAATTACATGGTGTTCACCACAGACACAGTGATCTAAATGGCTTCCTAGTGCAACCTAGGATTCTCTGAGGGTGGAAGCTGACAGTGTTGGCCCTTTACACCCATCTTTGGAAAACATTTGCCTTGAATCCAGTGACGATAGTAGTTTTCTGTTTGCTTTCTCTTTCAAGGAAGATGACGCCATTGACTGGTGGTGTAAGTTCTACGCTTCATCAGGGGAGCATGACGATTACACAGACTATCTGTTGCAGGGGTATGATACAATAAAGGTAATGGAGCTTTTCACCCCTGGGTCACCCCATGCTTGCGATGATTTGCAGTAATCTGTGAAATTGCTGCAATGTATGCCAAATACACCAAGTCCCCTTCACCAGCCAGTCTCCTTGCCTTGTGCTTACAGACATCCATTGATTCCCAGTCCAGTGTTGCCTCAGTTTTAAAGTCTGCATCCTTGATTTAAAATCTTTCTGGGTTCTTGTCACCAACATTCTCTTATTCTGTAATAAATGGCAATGAGATTTAACAGGATTGTTTCAGCTTATGTGTAGTGATAGGAAACAGGGACTAGTGAAAGGGAGGGGTGGAGGGGATGCTAGAGAGAGGGATGGGTGAAGGAATAACTAGAGAGAGAGTGTGAAAGTCACACTATCACACTCTCACACAGAATTGTGCACACACATCACTCTCGCACAATTACTCTCACACACAGTAGCTTTCTCACACACAGTGGCTTTCTCACACACAGTCACTCTCACCCACAATTGCTTCCACACACACACACACACTCACGTACACTCACTCTCTCACACACTCACTCTCTCACACACTCACTCATACACACAGTCACTCTCACTCGCAGTCAAACTCACACACAATCGGTCGCATACAGACAATTGGTCTCACACAGAGTCACACATTCATTCTCACAGACTGTCGCTCTCACACATGCACTTACCCTCACATGCAGTCACCCTCACATGCAGTCACTCACACACACATTCACTCTCACACACGCAGTCTCTCACACAT